CATGTGGGCCAGAGCAAATTCTTGAACAAAATTCAAGAATTTGAGAATAGAGCTTCTTGAATGTCACTTTCATTGAAACCACTGTTGTGATGGCCTTCTATTTAACTAAACCAGAGCTAGTCATTCTTACAAATTATGGTGAGCATGTTAGTTGGATTCTGTGTGAGTGTGTCTGTGTGAAAGAGAGAGAGAAAGAATAGAAATAAAGAATATTTACTTTTATGATTAATGTATTTTATGAATTTTAATGTATTTTATGAATTTCCAAACTGTGACCTTTGTCCTAAATTGTCCCTTATAAGGATTGTCAATCTAGGAAAAGTACTATTTAATGCTTCTTTTCTTTTTTAAGATTTTAATTTTATTTCAAAGTCAGATATACAGAGAGGAGGAGAGACAGAGAGGAAGATCTTCTGTCCTATGATTCACTCCCCAAGCAGCTGCAATGGCTGGATGGAGCTGAGCCAATCTGAAGCCAGGAGCCAGGAGCATCTTTCAGGTCGCCATGCAGGAGCGGGGTCCCAAGGCTTTGAGTCTTCAACTGCTTTCCCAGGACACAAGGAGGGAGCTGGATGGGAAGTGGGGCTGCTGGGATTAGAACCGGTGCCCATGTGGGATCCCGGTGCTTTCAAGGTGGTGACTTTAACCGCTAGGCCACCGTGACGGGCCCACTATTTGCTTTTTAACTTATAAATAGTAATAATTTGTAGTAAATGTCATCTTAAATAGAAAAACATTGACACCATCTTACTAAGGGAAATTAGCTGTCATAAACTTTACAGGAAAAAGAGACAAAACGAAGGTATTTGTAATTTCGCATTTCTAAGAGTAGGCTTTCGTATTCTGAGGGGCAACCTGAATCAGCAGTGTTTTATTCCTTACGGTTTAGAGGAGCGAGGACCCGTTGCCATCTGGTGAGATCGCAGTTCATCAGGGAGAGCTCGTTTCCTACCGCCATGCCCTCCCCTCTCCAGGACGTGTGCTACTGTGAACACACGCAGTTATTCACTCGTGCAGTCAACGCAGAGCACACAGAATGTGACTGTGCAGTATTTGTTAACTGAATGGAAAACTAACCCCAATTCAAATGATAAGAACTTGATCTTCACTGCTCCTTGCCCTATCACTCAGAGATTGGACTTGATTTTTTTTTTAGATTTATTTTTATTATTATTATTTTTTATTGGAAAGGCGGATATACAGAGAGGAGAGACAGAGAGGAAGATCTTCCATCCAATGATTCACTCCCCAAGTGAGCGCAACGGGCCGATACTATGCCAATCCGAAGCCAGGAGCCTCTTCCAGGTCTCCCATGCGGGTGCAGGGTTCCAAGGCTTTGGGCTGTTCTCTGCTGCTTTCCCGGGCCACAGGCAGGGAGCTGGAAGGGAAGCGGGGCTGCTGGGATAGAACCGGCTCCCATATGGGATCCCGGGCGTGCAAGGCGAGGACCTTAAGCACTGCGCCACCGCGCCGGGCCCAGATTCAACTTGATTTTAACAACACGCCCTTCCTTCCCTCATGATATTATCTGAGAAAGCTAGTGTGGCTCAGAAACAAATAAAACTTGGGCTCTATAAACGTATGTGTTTCCAAAAAGCAGTAACCTGGTCCCAATTTTTACCAAGTGAATACTTCGACCTCTACTCATTGGTAAAAGGCATGATAGTGCCTGTAGTGGGGAGTCCTTGTGGGCCTCAAGTCAGGCATGGTAACACAAAGCTCACAGCTGGGAGGTGGCTTGCACTCAGTAGTGGTAATATTGATGGGTTGTAACTGCAGCCCTCATTCACACTCTGTTTATTCAAATGTTGAGGACAGAGGGAAGGGAAGAGAAGAGAAGAGAAGAGGAGGAGAGGGGAAGGGAGGGGAGGGGAGGGGAGGGGAGGGAAAGGAAGGGAAGGCATTGGTATTTTTTGAAGATTTCAAAAAATCTTCTAAAAGAAAAATTTGAAACCATTCTTTTACTCCATATTAATGTCCCCTGTTTGTTGTGGTTGTTAGTGTCAAGACATGGTTGTATGGCTCTAAAGAGTGGTACATTTGCTCCAGGCCAGTACTTGGCTGTGTGGTTCCAAGCAAGTCACTTTATTTCAATTTCCTGTTCCACGAAATGTGTAGTTTGGAAAGATAATGTCTAAAGTTCCTACTTCCCTGTTTGAATTTTTTTTAAGGTATGTTTTTATTTTAAAGGCAAATTTACGAATAGAAGGGGAGACAGAGAGGCAAAGAGAACTTCCATCTGCTGGCCTGCTCTTCAGGTGGCCACAATGGCCAGAACTGAGATCAGAAGTCAGAAGCTTCTTCCGAATCTCTCACATGGGTTCAGGGGCCCAAGGACTTGAGCTATCCTCTGCTGCTTTTCCAGTCCCTAAGCATGAAGCTGGATCACAAGTAAAGCAGGCAGGTCACAAATTGATGCCATTATAGGACACTGGCACTGCAGGAGGAGGGTTGACCTGTTGAGCCACTGTGCCGGCCCCTCTAAAAACAGATTTGGAGTTATTTTATATTTCCCATTTTAAATCATTTATTTGTTTGAGAGAAACAGAGACAGAAGGACAGGAAAAATCTGTTAGCACTCCAAATACCTGTTGTAGTCAGGGCTGGGACTTGCTGAAGCCCTGAGTCAGAAACCCAGTCCAGGTCTCCCCCATGGCTGGCAGCGACCATCACCTGCTGTGGCTCAAGGCACACATTAGCCGGAAGCCAGAATCAGGCACAGAACCAGGACTCCAGCCTGGCACCCTGATGTGGAATCCAAGCATCACCAGGCCAGATGTCCACCCGTGGCCTGCCCATTTTAATTCTGGAGACCAAGAAGATTCATACAGAGTAATCTTCTAAATAACTTGATGAACTGCTTTTACTATTTCAATCCAAAAATATTTCATTCCAATAACATTGCACATAATGTGTATGCAAATAAATACATGGTGAATGTCAAAATTACCACATGTTCTAATTGCTGCTGGAAATGGTGACAGATTATTGCGTTGGCTGGACAGCACAGCTTCCTGCTTTGCTCCTTAGACTGTGAGAGGACACAGTGTGTCCTGGCAGGGGAACAAAAACTACAGAACACTCCAAGTTATTGGGATAGCTGGGTGATTTGCCTTTATATTAATGGAAATATGAATCCAATTAGTCTGCAGATCCTACCAAATTACATTGCTCATGCAAATCTCCAGTCCTTCCCTATCCTCCCTCACATAGGCTATGATGAAGCCTCTTCCTGGTTCTTGCAGCCTGCATTCTTGCTACACATTATGTTCTTTTGGTTTTTTTTTTTTTAAAGATTTATTTATTTATTAGAAAGTCAGATGTAGAGAGGAGGAGAGACAGTGAGGAAGATCTTCCATCCGATGATTCACTCCCCAAGTGAGCACAACGGCCGATGCTATGCCGGTCCGAAGCCAGAAGCCAGGAACTTTCTTCTGGGTCTCCCACACGGGTGCACGGTCCCAAAGCTTTGGGCTGTCCTCGACTGCTTTCCCAGGCCACAAGCAGGAAGCTGGATGGGAAGTGGAGCTACCGGGATTAGAACCGGCACCCATATGGGATCCCGGCACGTTCAAGGCAAGGACTTTAGCCGCTAGGCCGTGGTGCTGGGCCCTACGTATTATGTTCTAAGTAGATCCCACTATTGCTTCGTCACTGCAGCCTACACCTGTCTTTCAGCGCTCTGCACATATCTGATTGCAAACAAGTATAGTCACTATCTTTCTCCCACTAGCCCGTGTGTCCCTGAAGAGCAGAGACATATCTTAGTCACTATTATAGCTCATCCTCAATCCTCACTTCCTACCATGGCCCAGCACTCACAAACCTTTCTGTAAATGCTTAGGAATGAATTGGTGTGAATCCTCAGAGGCACAGAGACTGACGTCTTAATTCACTTTTGGACCATTCACACCAAGAACAATGCTCAATGCGAAGCAATGTGAAGCACGTGTATTGCATATTTATAACATGTTTGTTGCATATTTGACCTGATTGATGAAGGGATGACTCATTTTCAGAAACCGGCATGATAATCTCCTCCACTGTGCTGTTGTGACTCAGAGCTTTGATCTCCTTAGGCAAAGCTGGAGCTAATGAATGCCTGTCCTGAGGGGGCTGTTATAGGGAGAGGTCAGGCTTAGGAAGGACCCTGTACAACTCCCATACTCTTCCAGCTCCTAGCAGCCCCACAATTTGGCCACACTCACCCCGGATTACTGCTTGAGCTCCTGCTGTATCAGTCTTTTTGTATTTGAGTCACAGGACCTTTGCACATGTTTTTGTTGTTGTTGTTTTTTCCTAAAGAGTCCTCTCCGCAAATTAAATTCCTTGTGATAAGTCAAGAACATTTCTTGAGATAACATCCCTAACCCTCCAGGCCAAGTCCTAACATGGGCCAGTTATGCAGAATCGCATTATAGCTGTTTAGTTACATTGTTAATATTTGTTTCTCTTTATAATCTGTACCCTCAAGGAAAGGATGGATGACTTGGTTACACTGTATCCCCAGCTCCCAGAATGGTGCCCCGGGTGCGATGGATGCACCAACTGTGGGCTGAGTGAAAAGTAAATGAAAACTCTCCAAGACTCAGGCCGGGATCTTTAGCCCCAGGAGCTAGGAAGCCAGAGACCCCGGCTCTCAGCTCAGAATTTGGGGGCACTTTGAAGACACAGACCAATAAATTAAGAAGGGAAATCCCTCCAGCTGGTGTTGGAGCCCTGGAAGTCACAGGGGGTTTGGAGGAAGGGGTGGGTTTAACGGCGGATGCTGAAGCCAGGAGCAACGGTGGTCCATCAACCTAACAATGATCAGGTCCCAGTGAAGAGCCCTTGGCAAGGCAGCAGGAGCCTTGGCTGTCCCACTCCAACCTGCCAGCTGTGCCTGGTTGCCGCCCTGGGCGCGTTCCCGCTCTCCGCCGGGGCGCTCAGGGCCTCCGCCTGCGGGCGGCGCGCGTGATTGGCAGACCCCAGCCTCAGCCCAGGAGCGCGTTTCCACCCAAGGCGAAGTCCAGTCTCCGCCTGTTCCCGGGCCACCACCTCCTCTGAGCCCAGCCAGTGTCCGGCGTCGCTCTCCGATCCCGCCGCGCGCTTCCCGCAGGCGCCGCAAGGCAGCGAGGGTTCCGGCGCCATCCTAGCCAGTCCAAACCATGAAGGTGGAGTTTGCGCCGCTCAACATCCCCCTGGCGCGGCGGTTGCAGACGGCGGCGGTGCTGCAATGGGTCCTGTCCTTCCTGCTGCTGGGTAAGGACCCCGCGCGGGCTGCGGAAGATCAGGCAAAACGCCGCAGCGCCGGGACTGCGGTTCCGCGCTCGCAGGCGCTCGCTCTCCAAGGCCGTCCTTGCGGGACAGTCCAACCCTGTGCCCCTGTCGGCCGGAGCGGGCAGGTTGAAGAGGGTGCCTAGCGCTGACGCGGGGCCACCCTCTGGTTTTCTTCCCCACGTGTAGCTTGACTGTTTACTGGCTGTGTTTTTCCCTGTGCGATTTTAAGCATTGCCTGTGGCCATCCGGCCCAGGTTATAAACAAACAGTTGCGCTCCCAGGTTATAACCGTGACCCGTGGCGCTTTGCAACAATACACTTTAGTTCCTTAAAAGTTGATAAACGCGTTTCTTCAACGGCGATTCTCAAATGCTGAAACAGTAATGCCAAAGTGTTGAGCGCCTGAGTCTCGCGTCGCCACTGACATGATTTACAGCCCTGAGAACGCTGCCCCGTTTCCCTTCGCCCAAATGCGAAAGGTGCCTTTCTTCAGTCTGCACCAAACGCTGGGCTGGGTTGAACAAGTGGCTTCCATCCGGATATGATAAGGACAGAGAGAGTCTTGACCGATTCCCAAATTAAATCCAGGAAGAAAGACACACGAACGAGACACGATCCCTAGATGGACAGGTTGACTTTTTGTTTTCTTCAAGTTTTTTCTGCTCTTAGAATAAATTGGGTGGGGGTGGGGAGATACTAGGGGAATGAGCGGAATCATGGGGAACTCCTTCTGTGAGAACTTAAACATTTTTGGAAGCAAAAAAATCATTTCTATATGCTTAAGGTTGTATATGTTGGTGAGGTGATGAGAATAAACTTTCCTTTAAGATTCGTTTATTTTCATTGGGGAGGCAGATAAGATTTATGGAGAGAGGGAGAGACAGAGAGAAAGCTCTTCCATCCCTGGTTTCGCTCCCCAAGTGGCTGCAGTGGCCAGAGCTGAGTCCAAAGTTGGGAGCCAGGAGCTTCTTCCAGGTCGCCCCCGCAGGTGTAGGGTCCAAAGGCTTTGGGTCATTCTTCACTGCTTTCCCAGGCCAAAGCTGGGTGCTGGAAGGGAAGTGGAGCAACTGGGACACGAATTGGTGCCCATGTGGAATCCTGGCACTTGCAAGGTGAGCATTTAGCCACTGAGCTATCGTACTGGACCCGAATAAAACTCTCTGCATTGTAGATGTGTCCACTTTTTGGATTTTTAACACTTCGTGTTTTCACCACCTTCATCGGTGGCTCCCCACGCCGGCGGCATCCAGGAATCCCTGGAGGAGCTCCTGAGGAATGCAGATGACCAGGGGCCATCTGTTGCATCAGGACTTTTTTTTTTTTTTTAAGAACTTTGAGTGATACTGGTGTGCAAGCAGGCCTTACAAGAAAAGCAACTCAAACAGTAACTCATTCTGTCCACACAGAGCAAGCATGAGGAGAGCTGATAACATTCCACTCCGTTTTGCTCTGGACCAAAGGACCATCAAGATAATGGGAGACAACCTTCTCCAGGGCTTGGCGTGTTCCGAGTGCTGTTCTAAGCACCTTCCACTTGCAAGCATGTGATCCTCATACACCCTCCCACCGCCGAGGTAGATACCAGTCCTACTCTCCTTGTAGAGATGAAAGAAACACCTCTCAAAGTCACACAGCTGGCAGGAGGTGAAAGCACTGGGCGCAAACCCAAGTGTTCTAGTCAAAGACTGCTTTAAGGCTGGGACTCCCATCTTCGAAACCTCATGTCCTAACGCTGACCGAAGTCCAGGTCCTGTGCAGGGAACGTGCGGTTGGTTGTAGTTGTATATGTCTGCACGGTTCTGAGAAACAGCGGCTTGACCGTGCTAGCCTACAGATTTGCTGAGGGGGCACCTGGCATCTGCCCGGCTCAAGGAGGTGTGCAAGAAGACATGTGGTGTGATGGCTTCCACGCTATCAGCTGGAATGCCACCAAGGGCATTCCTGGATATAAATCCTTGTAGCCACCCTGAGGAAGGGATTGCCCCCAGTCCTCGTGTTAGACATGAGGAAGCTTACAGCTGCACTGAATTGCTCAAGGTTGCATAGCTCAGTAGCCAGTGACGGAAACACGTGAGTGGATTAGTGACTAGGAAGTGACAGCACCCCCAATAAGCCTTGCCTAATTCGAACTAAACCACAGTGACTCCAAAAAAAATTTTTTTTAAAAATTGTTTATGGGGCCAGCATTGTGGCATAGCCATTTAAGCCATCACCTGCAGGCACTGTGACACTGGTTCCAATCTAGGTTGCTCCACTTTCAGTCTAGCTCCCTGCAGTTGAGTGCCTGGGAAAGCAGTAGGGTGGCCCAAGTGTGGGGGGCCCTGCATCCATGTGGGAGGGCTGCAGGATCTTCAGGCTCCTGGCTCAGGCCTGGCCCAGCTCACCAGTTGCAGCTATCTGGGCAGTGAATTAACAAATGGACTCTCTCTCTGTGTCTCCATCTGGTCTGTTGCCCTACTTGTGTGTAACTTTGCATAAATATTTCAAGGTAAATTATTTTATAATGTTTCCATCCTAAATAATGTGCGTATTTCAAAAGTATTTCATATATATAACCACAGTACCATTGTCATTAGTATAACTTGCTTAAAATCGTCTAAGCTTAGTTCAGACTCATATCTCCTCAATCCTGCCAAAATACACTCTTACTATTTGAACATGGATGCAAACAGGACCATTGTGGGTTTTATGTATTTTTTCCTCTAGAACATTGCTGTCACATCTGTTTACTTGTCAGTGAAATCCTGAAGAAGCTAGAACGTCATGCATCCTGCAGGATGTGACCTTGTGGATTTGATTGTTCCTGCATAGCATCAATGTGTTCCTTTATCTGCTCTATTTCTTCTTAAATGGAAGGAGCTACAGGCTTGCTTAGGCATCAGTAAGACCTCTGGCATGACTGCCTTCTGCAGACAGCTGTGTGCTTCTCCTCTGTGTAAGTCAGTACCCAAGGCAGGCTGCTTGAAAAGTAACAGAGGTTTAGTTCTCCTGGTTCCCAGAGTCAAAGTCCAGACAACACTGCTCAGGCTCTTGCAAGAGCCTCGTTTCATACGTCACACCGTGGTAGGGCCAGGTGTGTCTGTGTTTGATGCTCGCTCTCCTATCCTCAGAAAGCCACCAGGCTTCAACCTTGGAAGCTCGGCCCTAATGATGTAATCACTGTATCTAGTCCCCGCCTGCAAGCATCATCAAACATCATGCTCAGATCGCGTTTCCGACCTCTTAGTACCATTAACGTAAAATTTAGGGGATGAACATTGCCTGAATTTCTAGGAGACGGATATTCAGGCTGTAACATTGCAAGATGCACGCGAGGTCAGGTTGTGCAGCTGTTAATGCCTCAGGCCGGTTAGGCCCAGGAAGGACGTAATCTGAGAAGCGGTAGCTGACATGTTGTAAAAAAATGTCCTTGTCTTTGACCACTGACCTATCACCTAGTAATTCATGTCATGATCTTTCCCTAAATTGTTTTATTTGTGTGTCTTTCACTACTGACCTTTCACCTAGTGCCTTATGTCATCATTGCTTCCTAGATGGGTGTATTTGTACTGCAAAATGATAGTTGGTTTATTCTTTTATTTCCCATATTCAAGTGAACTTCTAGAAGTTCTTCGAATAAATGAATTAAATGATCAATCTATTTTGGTGCAAAAAGTGAAATCTATGCATGATTTTTTTGTATTATAAAGTATCTATGAACTTTCAAAATAGCTAGAATTTCTGAAGGAAAATTTTGCCCATATTTTTTTCCCTGATCATCCAGGGCCGATTAACCACTATGCAATTCAATTCTGACAGAAAAGGAAAAGTAAATGCCAACTTATTTCAATTGAATTCTAAATTTTTAAGTAAGGAGCTAATGCAAGTGCTTATTTCCAGTGGTGACAAGATACGCTTTATTAAGTGTGAACAATTTTAATATGTAAATCACACTGTTGAAATACATTTTTCTTTCTACCACCAGAAAACTATTTCCGTGATTACCACTTCCGAGTTATTTAAAAATAGCCAGCTGTTTCATTTACTCATGAATATGAACATTGTTCCCTTGAGATGAATGTTAAATACTCATCATTTATTACTACTGAATTATCGAAGAAACTGAAACATTGCTTACTAGGTTGCATTCCACTAAACTGCTAGCTAAATTATTTGTAGACAACTAAATACAGGGCCTAGTGCAGTGATTCAATTGGCTAAATCCTCAAGTTGCAAAGAGCAAGATTCCGTATGGGCACCAGTCATGTCCTGGCTGGTCCACTTCCCATCCAGCTCCCTGATTGTGGCCTGGGCATGACCCAAAGCCTTGGCACCCTGCACCTATGTGGCAGACCTGGAAGAAGCTCCTGGCTCCTGACTGGATCGGCTCAGCTCTGGTCATTGCAGCCACTTGGGGAGTGACCCAGTGGATGGAAGATTTTTCTGTCTCTTCTCTCTGTAAACCTGATCTGATTTTTCAATAAAAATAAGTAAATCTTTAAAGCAAACACACAAAACTCAATATAGGGCCCAACATGGTAGCTTACCAATCCTTCTGGGCACTGGGTCTAGTCCCAGTTGCTCCACTTCTCATCTAGCTGCTTGCTTAAAGCCTGGGAAAGCAGTGGAGGTTGCAAGGGGGCCTTGCCTCCCGGCTCCAGACCAGCTTAGCTCTGGCCAGCAAATGGAAGATCTCCGTCTCTCCTCTCCTCTTTTTCTCTGTAACTCTGGCTTTCAACTAAAAACTTTTTAAATAAACCTTAAAAATACAAGTTAAATAAGAAAAGGATACATTTGTTGATGTGCTATCTACTACTCCATGACAGAGATTGTTAAATGAAAGAAAAGTAAAATTTAGAACACTAAATATTTTGCCCATGATTGCATGTGAGTTAATGATGAAATCAAGATCCTTTACTGAATATTTACTTAATTAAGCAATTTATTGAGATACACAACAAATTGCATGTGTTTGGATAAGAAACTGTGGCCACACGCAGCCC